CATATTGGAGGTCATCAGAAGCAGAAGACTACGGTGGGCTGGCCCTTGGAGGAGCCAAAATCCACTTTTACATGCAGTGATTGAACAAAACCCTGTAGGTAAAAGGCCTCTGGGAAGATGTTGTAAAGAAGGACGTTGAGCAGTTGGGAGGTTGTTCCAATTGGAGAAATCTAGCTTTGGATAGAGAAGGATGGAAACTTGGTTGTGAGACGGGATGGTCTTAGAGGCCCAATAAACCCCTAAAAAAAAAAATATATTATTGACTGATGAATTGGAACAAAATATGCACTTTACCACGCCCTACACGAATTTCTAATTTTTTTTTAAAAAGACGTGTTTTTCAACGCTGATTTTGAAATTGTTTGGATTTTTGTTCGGAAACCATTATTTTGGAAGTTATAGTCTTCCAAAGTTTGCGATTCTACGTTAATACGCATACGCTCAACACCAATTGCGCTCAATTTTAATTGGACTACGTTCTACATTTATATCAATATCGCTATTTTATAACTATCTCATTATTACTAAATTGTTAATTAAATTATCTTTATGAAAATAAAATAAGCTTTATTAAGTTATTTTGCAATTATCAACAAGTAGACAGGCTAATGACTATATTGTACCTTGTCAGTTTAAGTAATATAAGTATATAGTGGCACTCTTCGCCTGCCGGCTCCGGTTGGAGCTAGATGGGGGCTCGGACCCCAAACCCCCCGGGACTTAAATAGCTAACCAGTTGGGGGGACCCCTTCGGGGTCGCGGGGGGAGGTACCTGCCCTACGGGTAGACGAATGACCTAACAAGCAAACTGAACCTTGTTAGTTAAAGTAACACACAAATGGCTCCGGTCTTCAAACTAAAGGAATCCACCTTCGTCTGCCGGCTACAGTCGTCAAAACCTAGAGTTGCTCTGCAAGTATATAGTATATAGTGTGGCGCGGATGTGTATAAACGTAAAATCGCAAACTTTGGAGGGCTATAACTTCCAAAATAATGGTTTCCGCAAAAAAATTCAAAAAATTCCTAAATCAGTATAAAAACCACGCCTTTAAAATTTTTTTTTTGAAATTCGTGAGGGGCGTGGTAAAGTGCATTTTAGCCGATAAATTATTATATATATATAAGTATATGTATGACGTGTGTGTGTGTGGTGTGATAAAAGGCTTTGATAATGTCATTGAAAAAAACTAAGAATAGCATGATGTATATTTTAAATTTTAATCAATACTATAAGCTATATATAAAGTATAAGAGTAATATATTATTTCATTATTACGCTATGGTTGTATGATACTATGATACCATGAACTAAGATATTATAATTGTATACGCATGCCATAGATACGTGGTAAAACTTCTTTTGTGATAAATTAAATATCAGAAAAATAGAAAAATAAATAAATATTTTCTGATTCTGAGATTCTGGTTCACTTAGCTGTTATAGGTACTAGTAGCAATCATTTTATTATTTTATTTTAGATTCTGAACGAAGTGATGAACGTATTGATTTTACAATGTGTGTTTTTTTTTTTTTTCTGTGTCTGTGTACTGCATAACTTGTCGAAATAATGCTTCAATTTCAAACTTTGGGAGTGGTTTCCGATGTAAAAGTAAATATCCTTGGTGCATTATAGAGGTCAAAAGTAAACATTTTCCAACAGTTTTCAAAAAAATCGATTTTTTTTTTATATGGTTGTAATTCAAAAACTAATCACTGTAAATACTTGAAATTTTCACCAAATGTTTATGGTAGTGCTATCTATATACAGTTTAATTTTCAAATTTTTTTTTACTTTTTTGAGTTATTTATAGGCCACTGAAATTTTCAATTTTTTTTTAGAATTTTTTTTAAAGTGCCGGTAAAAAAATGTTGGAAAACCAAAAAAACTTGAAAATTTAATACAAGGTTCCTTATGAGTTGTTCTTATTTTAGCTAAAAAAAATTAATAATCGTTAGTCACAATTTTTTTTTATAAGCGTTTATAGTTTAAATTTTTACGAAATCTGTCGAAAACGCGAAAATTTGCAAGTAATTTTGAAGTTAAAAAATCATAAAATTTTTTGTGTTAATAACTAAGGATTAAAAATACAACACTAAGTTTTCTATTAGTTTTCCTTCAAGTAGCTATAGAGAAAACTCGAAACATCATTATAGGAAAAATTTTAAGTGCGTTTGAATTTTAAATTTTTATGAAATAGCGTAACGATAACGATTTATCCTCAAATGATTTTAAATATTTGTAATTATTCAAAAAGTATAAGTCGTA